ACCTTTTAGAGCCCTCGTTCTAGAACTTTCCGGTAATAAACAATATAAATATAGCGGCCTTAAACGCACCACTTCAGTTTTGCTCCAGCTTCCTAAGTGGATACGTATCTGCATATTTCACACACACACACATACACCACCAACACGCAGAAATGGCGTTAAGCACTGCAAGCATTCGACAGACGCATTCTATATCAGGATATACTGAACTTTGAACTTAAATGTCGCTACCAAGGACATTATAACGAGAACACGATGGGAGACATTTGAGAGCTGATCCGTGAAAGTGATTTACAGTGTAGTCGTGAATTTCGAAAAACTATTCACTTCTGAATCTCTCGTGAACATTCTCGTGTAACTTTAAGAAATATACAGGGTGTATGAAATCTTTCTCGAGATCCGTTGTGTGCAGGTAGAAAGGGGTAAGCTGAATAGAAAAATCCTGTGCTATTTTGCAAAATTCGCAGTAATTGATGTGGAATTAATTCCGCATAAGCTAACGACTGCACGAGAAACAGTAGACTGAGCTTTGTATAAAAAAAATGACTTACTTCTGAAGATGTCCCAGTAACGATGAGCATCAATTGATTTCTAGAAGCGGAGTAACGCAGCGAGCAGCAAGTAACATAGAACTGCGCGCTAAAAAAAACACACTTCTCGCTATCAGTTGATATCTGTCGTTGCTAGGATATCTTCATAAGCGCTCTCTAAAGTACAGTCAGTGTATTATCATTGAGAATACTCGATAGTCACTGGTGACCATAATTATAAGTATAGCATTACAAATCGGTGAAATTTCGCTGCAAGTCTGTTAATACGGAAAAACTGGAAGAATACGAAAAAATTACTGGCATATTGGAGAAAAATAGTTTTTCAATAGTATACCAGTAATTTTCTTATATTTTTGTAGTTATTTTTCTATACGGATATCCAGGAATATAAATTGTGTGTTACATAATGCAATAGGCGCCGCATGGTAATTTGTCTTTCCGCCGGCTAAATATTAATTTGAATTCGGAACTCGACCACTCACCTGATCTCCTATGGCCCGGAAGATCCTTCCTCGTGCACTGAAGGTGCGCAGAACTCGCGAAGATACTTCGTTCGCGACCCTCCTGGCTATAACTTGCGCAAATTTTTCATTCGTGACAATCGGTTTGATATCGACGTGAAAAAAAGCCGTTTTTTCACTGATAAGTCGGAAGGATTAAGATTATCATTGTAGACATTGATAACATGTCGATATGTGTGTGTATCGATGGGTGGGCACTATCTTTTGCTAGATGCTTGCCAACCTGATAATGATGATGTATCATTTTGCGTCGATCGCGTGCTCTATCACCGCGCTAGCATCTTGCGCATCGTTATTAGGAAGTGAAAATAACTTGATATACAAAAATAATATAGTAAAAAATTTGTGTTCAAAACGATTCACCGAAATTTCGCGTTACTTTATGGCGAATGTGTTAAAAAGTGTACAGATATGTGTTAATAAATATAATGTTAAATTAACATATTTTCCTTACCAACATACAGTAATTAGCTCGCTCTTCTTCGAATCGTATCTCGCAATCATGTAACATGAATATTGAAAACGTAAATATCGAAAATTCTCGCTCGGATTTTGATATTGGTCGAGTTAAAGATCGCAGTCTACTATATTCACGTGATTCTTTTTTCTCAAGTCGCAATCTGCAAAGAGGACCTCGGCGTGTCCTGTCGCGAACAGACGAACGCTGGAGATAGATTGCCAGCTTCTGGCGATTTAACGCGAGACGGAGGCTCGACAGCAAACAAACACACTCGGGGACGAGGTATTTTCGGGTCGAAGAATTGCGAAAGTCGAATCGAAATCGCGTTTATCGTGATCCACTCGTCGTCGTCGTCGGGTGATATCCGTGCGCGATCTCAAGATTTCAGGACGTTCGGAGACAGTTTACGCCCGTGACGCGCGCGCGAGAGAGTGTGTGTGCACTTCCGGCCAGCGCGAAGTCTTCCACCGGAATTGACGGTTGCCCTCTTCCGGTCGAGCGGCCAGCCAACTGCCCTCTTACTTCACTCCTGAGTGCACCACCTCCGAAACTTCTTCGGAGTCGTCGTCGTCGTCGTTCGACGTGGACGTCGACGCACCACCACCGCCAACGACGACGACACACACCTCCACCACCGATTCTCTTCCACCATCGGCGGCTCGCTCTTCCTTTCAACGCCTTTGATTTTCTTCGCGCCGGCACACGCCGCCGCCGGAGCGGAGGATGTCCTGGTCGATCGCTTTACCGCGCGAGAACCGATGCCTCCCGTTTTCTCGGCTTGTTATTTTCCCTCGCGCGTGCTCACGTTGCGCGGAATCAAAAGCGGAATCGAAAGCGACACAGCCCGCTCTCTTAAGTCGCATCAGTGGTGAAAGTATCATTAATTGAATCAGTGGAAATGCCACTAATTGAATCAGTCACGATGCCGCTGGTTGAATCAATGGAAATGTCACTAATTGAATTAGTGACAATGTTACTGATCGAATCAATGAAAATGTCACTATATTGAATCAGTAAAATATTCTATCGATAATCAGAAAATATTCTATCGATAATCAGAATATGATATGATAATGAAAATTCACTAACCGAATTCATTAACGGAAATTTTTCGAATTATTAGCTCAACGAGGTAACGGGTGGCGCTTCGACGAACACCGAGACGTCCGTACGATGACGTGTTTATTAAAACGAAAGTCAGGAGTGTGACGTTCGTCACACGCGAGCGGTAAAATTNATTTTTGCGGCCGCCAAGTGCGAAAGAATATGAAGGATTATCCCGTGACATCGTTTGAATATACCGGCGTACACGCACACGCCGGCGCGCACAACGGGAATAATAATGATAAAAATATTGTGCATTTAATATTCTATGCGTTACGCACTATCTGCTGCCGCCGTTGGGAAGGGGAGAAGGGTACCGGCCCCGCGGCTGTAACGATATATGCGTTTTTGTTCGGCTTTAAACGGGAAGTATCGCGGCTATATAAATTTAAACTCGAATTCCGCGATGCTGCCGTTTGCATGGTAATTGATCGTTCCAAGTGCGCGCGCGTATGTGCGTGCGTGCGTGTGCGCGCGCGCGCTCGCGTAAAAACTTGAGCGGCCACGAAGCGAACGTTGGATTAAGCGTTCCAAAATATTTCCCCGAATATTACACGAGCTTTAGCGGGATATTTCCTGTCCGGAATTATTAACGCGATATATAAAATAACCGTTTCATTCGTCGCTACGATAACATAAATCGCGGACTATTTTTCTCGCGGTCGGCCGGGCCGGCCGGGCTATCGCGTGCGCGATGGTGTAACATCGAGCGCCGGCGGCGGTGGCCGCGCCTTTTTAACGCCGTCGCTGTCGTGCGGTAAGCGCGGCGAATGCGAGCGCAATTCTGAACGTAACAACACACGTGTCACGCTTTTCTTCGTTCGCCGATCGATTTGGGGGGGG